CAGGAGTGAGCTACCAGTACCAAGCTGCTTTTATGTACTTTTTAGTTACAAATATGTCCAATAATGTATGTGTTCATTTTCACATTCCTTTATTACGTTATATTGCAAGAGATGAATTTAAAAAGGGCTGGAAATTTTATTATTATATCTACATAATATATGAATGGAAACGGTTAATGCATCTCTTTTGAATGTTTACTTTAGGTCTATTTTGAAGTGCTTGAGGATTAAAAAAATTACTTGATGGATAGTTTCCCTAAATGCCTGAGTTTGTTTTGCAATAAAGACAATGTTCTTCATTCTCCCCAAAGCAAAAAAGAATTGATTTATCTAAAAAAGAGTATAGAAATTTCAACAAACAGGTGTCTTTGTTTTTGAGATGTAAGTTACACAATTACAGGAGAAAAAAGATTTAAAAGTATTGCATAAAAGAAAACTGCTAAAATTAGGTGAATTTTTTCATGGCTACATCACGGTGTATGCATGTTTAAGGTTTGCACTTACATGTGAGGCAATTTTAGAAAGCATTTAACCTCGATATTTTCAAATTTTCATTTTGGACTTTTAGTAAGTAACTTCAGTGTGAAATAGTTGAAAAATCATGAGAACAAGTGGCACAAACAATGAAGGTTTACTTCTATTTTAAGAAATTTAACCTATAGAAGGTGTATCATAATTACAGCCAATAAAATATCAAAAAACATGAATGTTTGTGTGCATGTGTGTGTATACATGAAGGTCATATGTCTTTGGAAGAAACAAGAGCTCACATCTCTTTAAAGTATCTCAGCTAAAACAAAGACTCTTAGAAACGGAAAGTGTAAATGTAGGACATATTCAGTTCCTTCTAAATTTGTATCTTTGCAACACTCTAAGAATCAATGTGGATTTAAAGAACCAAAAGGATTATGTAGATGAAGATATTTCATGAATTATACATGCCTATGCGTTAACAATGAATTTAATTCTGAAGTACAATTATTTTGACTCAGGATTAAGTCTTCTAATTTTATCGAGAAAATCCGAAAAAACTAGAAGGAAAGGATTTCAGTAAGGATTATGCTATTTCTTACTGCACAGAAAGCAAGTTCCTAAATGAAAGTCACCACACATGAGCAAGGGTTTAAATTTTCCAGCAGATAATGTCTGCAATTTACATTAAATGAACATTAGTGATGGAGATAACAAAATATAAAATCATTATACTAGCTTCTTACATGTGATAGTGCTAATGCCCAAAAAGTATGCTTCTTTAATTCCTATGTATTATCTTCATATATCTGAGACAATCATGACTTCAAAATAATTTAACATGCTGTGTGTTAACACTGGCTTGTAGAAATCCCATAGCAAAGACATGCTGTAGCAAAGAAGTATTCTCAGTGTTATATTACAGCATCACACAATTTTAACTATTGAAACATAAAGAAGAAAAACCATCAGACTTTAACAATTTGGGGCAGCCAATGGTCCCATTCCATTAGAGACCCAACAATAACATGAGAAATACCCAGATTCAAGAGTGAATATTTACAGTATCCAAATCCTCATAGTGGACATTTACACAGGATGCACAGTCATTATGGTCCAGTTACAGCCAATGGGGCCCTGAAGGTCTATAGGAGGTTCCTGAACTGTACTGAGGTAAGGAGTGACTGGGAAGCTCAAGTGTGGGGTCCTAGCTACCCTCATGTTCACTTCAACAATTAGAATTCAGGAATTATCTGTTTGATGAAAATAAAGTTACACCCCCTTTGTTTTCTTACAAATTTCTACAGCTGAAAAAATTTGAATGTTATTGAATCAAGCGGAAACATAAATATCCATTGCTTCAAAGTTGCCCTCATCCCATCAATGCAATCTCAGCTACAGACTGAGCCTCAGCTAGAGTGACTCTCCATAGTATAAGTGAAATTTAGCAAAACACAACACTGGATCCTAGTCATGTGACCCAATTTATTTCTCCAGCTTTGTCCCTCATTAAGCCCTCCCTTTCAACCATACTGAGTGTCTTGTAGTTTTCAGAACGCACTGTGATTATTTTCCACTCTGATTCTGCCAGTGTTTTCGTGACTTCATCCTCCATGCACATGGCTTCTCAGGAACCTCAAACAGTGGGAGATGCCCACTGAAGGAGAGCCTGAGAATTTAGAATCTAGGTTTTACCCTCATTCCTTCAATTCCAGTCACATATTACTGGGAAATATTTGAAAAGTACATCTGTACTGAACATGCAGACTTCTCTTTCTTATCATTGTCCCCTGCACAACATAGGTATATCACCTACTTACATTGTTTTGGTCCTAGAACCAATCCCTCGTTACTGAAAAACCATTCAACACAACGATGAGTGCTGCTTTTTGTGTCTTATACACATCAAAGGAAGTAATTTTCCCTGGGAACTTTCAAGCATGGGATATAAGTAATGACATTCCTTTACTGTTCTTGTGCAATCTGAAATCTGGCTGATTCCTACTTCCAACAATAGAAGTTTTCAAACTTGTCTTTTAGCTTGCACTCTCAGTATTGTTTGCACTTACTAATAATTTTTTTAAAGTTCAGGTAAGAAATGAAAACCATGGTAGCTCTTTTAAAAAGCATAATGAAGCAATTCTTCCCTTCACTCACATAACAGGGAAATACCTGCTTTATATAAAACAGAGCTTAATTAGTGACTTAAACACAGCACTGCATTTTCCCAGGGATATTTTTCTTCCAGACTGTTAGTTTGCTTTCTCAGTAACCTCAAGAATTGTAGGATCAGCTCAGATGAAAAGCAGGATATAACATGATCAGCTGAAGGTTGTGAAAAGTGTTGCTGTGATGACCCTCCTGAATCCAAATATTAAAACAAAATATCTGCTAGACTTACGTTCTTAAGAAGGTTTTCCACATGAATATCAAGTATATAAAACAGTTAGATATTATTTAAATTTATTTGCAATGTTTACCATGTTTTTTATTTAAAAAATAACTTCTGGGCTCAATCCACACAGTGGGGCAAGCTTCATGTAAAGGTCTGCTCAGCAGTTTGCTTAGCTCTGCTTATGGCTGCTGTCCTGAGGTAATTCTTACTGGCCCTCACTTTCCCTCATCACATGTCACCATCTGGGTGACAATGCTATGGCCATCTTCATTACAATGCTTATAGATTTTTTGTCCTTTTCCCATTTCCCAGGTTGCCTCAAAAGCCTATACTTCCAGTGATAGGGTGCTAGCTTTGGGCAATTTCTGCGTGACAGGCTTAAAATACCCACATTCCTGTTTCCTGCTCAAGAGCTTCCCCTAGAAGAATCAGAACAATTTGCTTTGATTCTCCTTTCTAATCACTTGTTCCCAGGATACTGTGGACACAAGTAGATAGGTTTGTTGGTTGGGTGTTGGTACCGTGGTTTTCTCCCTATTATACAAAGACACAGGGGAAGTGGATTTGCATTATAGCCTTAAAAATAGGTTCAAAAGACATTCAGATACTCAGAAATAGGTCCAAACAACTTTTTTTTTTCCCATGTGAGATTCTTTCACATTTATGTGGTAATTTGATGGCAATTCTGGCAATAATATTTCCTTCTTAAAATTGTATTTTATTTTTTTTATAATCAGTTTATTTCTAATGTTATTCAAGAAATTTATTTAATAATCATTAAATTAGCTAATTTATTAGGCTAATTTAACATTCATGGACTTGTCCTGATTTGACAGCAGTCTCACTGAGAATCATGAAAAAAGCCACTGCGTCTGAAATTCCTTGTGCATAGCAGTATTCTTTCAGTGTCAAGCAAACACTCACTGGTTGCCCGAATCTGACCTGCATCAGGGTGCTACTTCATTTTGCAATGTTAAATAAAAAGAAACCTTGGCCATTCTTAGATGATGTGAAATTTTGCATGATCAAGAAACATTATAAGTTCTCTGACACCAGATGGCATCCTACCTGCCTAAGACCAGCTGGATCCCAGTTAGACTCCCATGGTTACCAAGATCAAAGTGTTCCCCACTGTCTCCTACATACACTCCACCCTCCTCACCCATTTGTGTCACTCCCTTATTCTGTTGGCATTTGCTTTCAAAAATCCTGCACCAGCCAGATAAGATATGTTTCTTAGTCACAGATTACTAAATAATTGTTAAAATTAGCATAGGCCAGATACAGGAGAAAGTAGAGTGGATCTAGGGAATAGCATATGTCCTGGTGAGAGGAAAAAGACATCTTCCCTGGGAATCAGAGCCTGAGTCAGAATTTGCAGCAGCCACTGGAATGAGATTGAGATTAGCACGGGGGTGGGGAAGTGGAAGTAGGACAAAGGATGTAAGACCACTTCCAATTAAATAATAATGATGGGTAATGTTTTGGCTTTGTCCTGTGTCACTCCATAGATCCCAAAGTTGCTTATTTTTTTAAAATAAGACAAGTTGAGGAAGTGTTCTTTTTCATTCACTGTGCATCCTTCCCAGAGTTGCATACTTCATAAAATGGGAAACTTATCAGATTTCACAAACCCCTGATGAAGTTAAGTGTTTATAACAGATACCCTCCCTGATTGAAAACTCCAAAACTCAAAATTCCACCATTCCCTCCATAATTCTAACGTATCAGTGATAAATACGAAAATGTTTTTCCTCAGCTTCATATTGTAGATGTTGTTACAGAATATTCATGAAGGAACACTTTTAAAAATTAGTTTTTGAGGAAAAAAGATATTTTCCCAAGTATGAGTCCTTATCTTTAAAAAAAGAGAACAAAAGAATATCTATCTACCTACCAACTGATATCTATATTTGTATTAATATATGGATACAGATTTTCTTTAGTAGAATGTTTCTTCATACTACATGTGTTTTCTTAAAAATTCAAACTTCTGTAAACAGATTAAAGTATAATTTTATCTTCTATGAACAAAAATGAAGAACTTAAAATTTGACACATGATAACCAATTAAATTTTTGCTTATTCTCCAATGAGAATGTCAGTAACACACTCTCAGCACTGAACACATTACCTTTGTCGCAGCATCAAAGCAGATAAATCCTGTGCTGAAGTCAATCGTGAGGCCCATGAGGTGGCTTTCCAGCACACACGCATATGTCTTGCACTTGGAAGAATGGAGAATACGATTAGTTTTCATATTACTGATGAAATGTCAATATCAAGGCCTAAGTGACATGTCCTAAACATGAATACAATATTTAAAATCAACAATTGTCAGCACTGATTTAACAAAAAAGAAGCTGAGAAGATTTCTTTGATTTCTCCAGGAGTATGCAGGCTCAATTTTCCAATCCTCACCACATCTTCATATCATGCAAAATTGTCTTTGATATATATGGTTTTGATTTTTTCTTTTTTGTGGTACTAGGGATTGAACTCCTGCATTCTTATTAGGCAAGCACTCTACCACTTGAGCCAAGCCCCAGTCCTTTTGCTTCTAGTTTATTTTATAGAAAAGACTCCCCACTTTTGCCCTGGCTGGCCTGAAACTGCAGTCCTCCTTCCTCTGCCTCCAGAGTAAGTGGAATAACAGATATGTGCCACCGTGCCAGGCTTGTTTTTGAGACAGGATATCCCTAACTTTTTTTTTGCCTATGCTGGCCTAGAACTGACATCCTCTTTTCTGCCTCTTGAGTAGCTGGAATTACAGTATTTTTTTTTCTTTGAAGACAGCATCCCACTCTTAGACACACAAATACACAGATTCAGTTACCAAGGCAAAAACGTAGGTAGATCTTCACCTTAGGAGTTTCAATATTCTTCCATACAGAACAAGATATTACCCAAAGACATGTACCACTGGCCTACATTTGTTTAAACTACAGATTCTTTAAGTCAACAGTATGACTTGGGGTGTAGCTCAGTGGTGAAGAGCTTGTCTAGCATGCACAAAGCCTGGGGACTGATCCCCAGCACTCAATGCAAAATAAATAAATGAATTAACAACATGTTTTCACATTGATATCAGGTTACATTGCAATTTTACTTATATAAATATTTTGGCAAGATGAAAAAATATGAGTACTGAAACATTAAAAGAAAAGATAAATATTATCTAAGAACTGTCTTAGGCTTTATAGACATGTATTTTGTATCCATAAGTCAACTTACTTTCAATATTATTACTGGTTTTTCTTTTTTTTGGTGAGACAGTGAATTGAACTCAGAGCTCCCCACTTGAAAAGAGTCACTCTACCACTTGAGCCACACTTACAGTCCATTTTGCTCTTGTAAATGTGGAGATGATGGTCTCGTGAACTACTTGCTGGGGGTTGGCTCAAACCTCAATCACCCTGATCTCAGCCTGCCAAGTAGACAGTGTCACAGGTGTGAACCACTGGTGCCCAGTTTCAATTTTATTTTTATTTAAATTTCAAATTAAAATCAGATATTCAAATAATGAAGTATATTTATAATTCACATGAGATGAGAGAGCTGCATATCTCCAGCAAATTTTCAATACCAATTCTTACATACTATTTTATAACAGTATCAATATAAACATATCAAATGAATAAAGTAGTGACTATAATCATGACTAAACATATCAAATTGCCTTTACCAAAAAGCTACATTTATGTGTTTAAAGTCTAATTTGCATAGAAAATCGTAAGTATGCCAAATTATCCATTTGAAATTAAAATTTCAAGTAAGTAGATTAGAGTACAGAATTAATGGGTCTCAGAAGTCCATTTGGGGTGTAATTATATTTGCTTAGTACATGGGCATCTCTTATGCTTGCATCCTCTCATTTGTACTTACTAAAACGACTATCTGCTTTAAGTAATGTTCAAGGATATATCATTGCTTCTAAATTTAGGCTTAATTGTTTGCTATTTTCAAGTACTGTCATTTAAAATAGAAAACTGTAGGTGAAATCTATTTGCTATAGTGCATTAAAATTTTCTCATTAAATTTAGCATTACAAATTAAATTGCATTGTCTCAATAATCATTAAATGCAAACAAATAAGCAAAAATTGAGACACACTGAAATTTAATTCTAAAACTTAGAATGTTAATAAACATCTATCAGTGTACATAATATGCTTCAACACTGAAATATTTGTTTATTGCTTCATTTTTGCATTTATTTAATGAAAGTATAATTATAGGGAATAAAAATGATAAATAAAATTATCCTCAAGAGAAGTTAAAAAGCACTTTTAAAGATTTTTGCAGAATTATTTATTATACAACATTTAAGGATAAAGCATATATATAGTATAAAATTTCTAAAATGCCCTTTCAAAAGTGATAAACTTTTTATTTAAAAGTCTTGTTTTAAAAGAGATATTAGTTCATATTGAAGTAGTGCACAGTTATAAAAAATGACCTTTACCAATATTATCTATTTCCTACTAGAAAATTATAAAGGCACTAAAAATACATTAAATGAATTAGGCCTCATAGCTCTACTTTCACACTACAGGAATGCAAGATTTTATTTATTTCAAGTGTCCTCCTCTTCTCCCAATATCTACTCTGCTTCCTAGTTTTAAAGAGTTAATTTGAATGCTGATGTGGGATGTCTGAGAAATGTATACTTTCCCTGATGTTCCTAGCTAATACATATGTACTTATTCATATCAATACTAGGTACATCAGAGATCAAAACAATATGAAAACTTTTACAGAAACAGATTGGTAGCTGTATATCTATTTATAAGTCCTATAATGAAATCCAATTATTATCCTATTAATTAAAACCAATTTCAAAAAATTTATGAATCATTAATACTAGTAATCAATTTATTACTACTCTATTTTATAGTAGGGAACTTGTCCCTTCTTTATTTTACTTTTTCACCAACTTTACTGAAAGTGAAATACTAAAAATATAAAGAAAAACATGATTCTTCCTATAAGTTTATTCACATTTTTACATATTGAAAATAACACTATCAAAATATTCAGCTGATGATTGCAAATTTGTGATATAGTAAACAAGGAAACAAAGAGAAACGATAAAATTCATAGAAAAACTGAAAAGCTAAATAAGACATCAAATATTTGCTCTTCACTTTTTTTCTCTTTTTGTGGTACTGAACTTTTCAACTCAGGGCCTTTGCACTTGCCAGGTAGGCACTACCATTTAAGCCACTCCCCCCTCTTTTTTTGCTTTAGTTGTTTTTCAGATAGGTAGGGTTTGGGGGTTTTCCCAAGCATGAGCCACCATACCTGGCCCTGTTTTTTACTTTTGATATGGGCAGGACAGGGGATACAGAAACAACAACAAAAAAATACAAAAAACAAATTGCTGTGGCATAGCTTTAAGAGGTACAGCTGCTCATGAGGCCCTGAGTTCAATCTCTAGTCTTGCAAAATTGGTTTAGACATTACCACTTAGAATAAAACAATATTCTAGATGTTTTTCATTTTCCAGTTTTGATATTAATGTACTTAGTTTACTGAATCAAGATTCTACGTAGTGAAATTATGAAAACTATTTTCAGCTACTTTGTGACTTTTTTTAGATATACAAAATGAAAAGCAGCATCATTAGAAAATGTCAACTGATTTTTCTAGTTTTTTGAGGAACCTCCATACTGATTTTCAGTATGTAGTGACATTAGATATATTCCCACAAACAGTGTATGAGGGTTCCTTTTTCCCTGCATCATCAAAAAAGGGGGTTTTATAGTGGGGGTGTCGATGAGCATAGGGTGGTGGAAAGAAAGTATACTTTGAGTTAAAGGAGATCAAAGTATGCTCTGCAAGTATGTATGAAGACAACATAATGAAACCCACTCAGCACTGTTTGGAAAGGAGGTGGGAAGGAGAAGGAAATATGGGAATGTAATGGAGGGGGTGAACTTGTTCAAAGTACACTGCATACATCTATGGAATTATTACAATTGAATCCCCTGGTACTCTTAAATGTATGCTGATTGAAAATAATATAAAATTAGGAAAATAAGAAAAAAATATGACATTGAAATTCTGCATTGAGAATTAATGCAGAAAAGTGAACAGCAGGCTTATAATAAAAGAAGTGCTATTAAGATGAATTTATCTATTTACATATTTAAAGAAAAGAAAATGTGAAGTGAGTGATGAAACAACTGAAATTTGAGATTTCTCTGGTCTCTTTCCCTAATTGTAATGTCATACTGGTGAAACTTGAAATGTTAATTTCAAAAGCTTGCAATCAGAAAAAAAGAGACCAGTTTAACATGTTGGGAAAATATGCATACAGATCTCCTATCAGAGGTAAACATTGTGGTATAGTAACTCTATATTATCATCATACTTGTCTTCAAAGTTATATGTCTGCATGTGGCTTGGGTTGTGCTCTATGAGTCCATTTGCAAAGGACAAGGACCTCATGACCTTGCACTTTGCTACAGGTCTGTTAGAGGTCAGCCACAGAACCAACATGGAAAGTCCCTTCATTCCACAGTCTCATGAATTGGAGGAGACAAGTTTTCTGTGAAGTTTGATCTAGGACTTCCTACTGAAGAAATGCAATTCAGTAAATATCAGTTAGGTATATGTGATGTACAAAATGCATGAGACTTCAGTTGGTAATGATTAAAATGGTATCAAGCAACCTGAAGCTTAATGTGGAGAATGACAAACATGTCACTCCAGTCTGAGACAATGTTAGCTGTCCTAAGAAAACCAACTTGCGTTCAGAAATGGGAAGAGGGAAGAGACAGTACAAGATTACTGTGGAAGGAGTGTGGCTCTTCTATTTAAGATTCAAATTAGAGCAGTGTCTAACTAAAATTAGAAATATGGTTTTGAGGAATTTAGGAAATACTTTAGAAAAATAAAATAGTGGAAAAATTAAAATCTTATTAAGAGCTGCCTTATTATTCATTTAGTAATAATGGCCAATTATTGAATGCATTTAAGGTGGAGGTCAATATTCATAGGACTCTGTTTTACCACTACTTTGAGTTTATATTAAGCTTTGGTGGAGTAGTCATGCATCCCTGAGGTTCATGGTCCTACGTCCCACACTCTCACCTGTATCCGCTCCACTTCTAGAAAGGTGGCCATTTGGAAAGCTCTTTCCCACTGGGCAAGATCACACTCTAACTCCACGGAGAAATAGAGGTCCTCCCCAGACTCGGATTGCACAGTGAAGCAATGTTTCCGCCGGTCCAGCAGATCACTGTCCTGATGAAAACCTGGAGTTACGTAGGCTGGCATACATCAATTCATACTGCTGACATGGACATACCTTGCATCAGTGTAGACTAATGCAAGATGAAGATTCCACAGTCAAAAGACAGCACTTGATGTTATCACCCAGTTATCATTAGAAATGGTTACAAGAGCCAAATCTCCAGGCCTCAAACTCCCAGTGTTATTTGTCTGTGATACCATGAAGCATGTCCACAAAATAAAAGAAAGGGCTTTTGACTTCAGTTCTTACCAGCAGTGTGACTTCTAAAGTATTTAATACACAAAACTCAGTTTATGACTGTCAGAAGGGATGACACACAATTTCCACTTTTCCTTACAGAGCTGTCAGGATGTCAAAATTACATAATGCTTCTGATCTTGTCAGCAAATTTTTAAGGGTTTTACAGGTATGCAAGGTTTTCACTAAGTTGATTTCTTAAACCCCTTAAGAATCATAAAACCACGGAAAATGAAAAAGAAAATGTGTCTAATTTATCAACGGGAATTATGTTGCATTTTTCTATAAAAAACACATTTTTCTTGCTTATGTAATTGTATTTCACTGAATCAAATAGACGTTGACACCGGCAATTTCTTGGTCTTCAACTAAGTTTTATTTCAATGTGCTTCAATTCCAATGTGTTTTCTAATTTCAGAGATGTTAAAGTCTGAAGATATACAGCCAAGAGTTTATGAAAAATGGTAACCAATGTCAGATATAGCCTTTGAAATACATATATATGTATATATATGTATACAGTGTGCTAAAAGTTGTGAAAAGATTCAGAATTGTTGTCTTTCATTATTTCCTTTAATGGAAGTATGCATACAAATGCGCTGTCATAAGCAGAGGGGATATTACACACAATTGTCTGTGTTGACAGAAATTTTAAAATAATTATTGTCTTTTTTTCCGACCAGATTCTTACAAGTGATAAAACCCAGCAAATAAAAGGCAGTCACTTCTAGTATTACAGAATTAGCTTGGACACTTGCTGCCAGTAGATACTCAGAAAACTAACAAGACAAAGATTGCTCTTTTTATTCATGATTTTCCTACTTAGCCTAATAGGAGAAAAATGAAAATACAACATTTTATGAATACAATACAAATATAAATAGGTTATAAGATGCTTTTCAATAATTTGGAACTTCTAGTGCCTAGGGTGTCAGTAACAGCTATTAAATAAGTAACTGTACCATAAATATACTGTACAAATTATTATAAATGCCAATATACAAGTCAAGAATGTGTTCATACATCAATGTATATTGGGAAGTCAGAAAAAATGTTCTTTAGGAAGTAAATTTTTAAAAGTGGCTCAAAAATAAATAGATGATTAATGTTAACATGGGAAGCAAGAATGTTCTTTCCAGAGAGGGGATGGGAGGAGCAGGCGCCCTAAGCAAATGCGAGTGGTGCATTCAGAAATTCAAGGGGAGGGAAGCTAATAAAAGCCAAGAAGGGGCTAGAGATGAGGTTGCTGGTCATGTTACAAATTTTGAACTTGAATATAGTGTAGTGACAAGACACTGTATCTTCTATGTGTACTGCAGATATTTCAGTAACTACATTAACTTTTAAAATTAATAACATTGGCACAAAAATTGCAACAATTGCAGAGTTTTCAGAAACTGCTGATTTTAAGGCATATTGCACTGGCCTTAACTTCCCTTGTATTATAAAATGTTGATCAATGTCATTACTAGCCAGACAGTTTGCTGTCCTTTCCTTCTCATAAACCGAATGTTGTAATAGAATCGTAAAATGACCTTCACATATGCTTTTTCTATGTTCTTGGAGAAACTTAACTTCATTACTCTTTTCAAACTCGAGGTAGCATCTTCTATGACATTACTCAAACGTGGAAGCTTTTGCAGATAAAGGGCTCTCTGATCAATTGTGCAAATATAATTTCAGCATCTCTGAATATTGTTATTTGCTGCTGTTATCTATAAGGCATTTCTCATGCACTCACAACAGGAGCTGTGATGGGTATCTACATGTTCAGGCTTCTGTTTGGAGGGGAGACAAATAAAATAATAAAAAACATTATGAAGTGCTACAGAGGTAAAGAGGTAAAGCAAAAAGAAGAGGAAGCAATAATAATTTTTGAAGAAGGTGGGATGGGAAGAGTTTTTTCTTGGGAGGAAACTGTCTCATTGTCAGGAACTTGTAATAGCAAGCATTCACATGCCTAAAGGAGTTGCGGATCTTGCTGAGAAATTCCAGGGAAGACAGTGCTGGATGACCCATGGGAAGGTTTCAAGTATGAGGCAGACAGAATTGGCCACTTTAGAGAGAGGAGCAAGTGAATGGGAGGAGGAGAAGAGGCAACAAGTTTGAATCATTTTCCAAAGTTTAGTGAAAAGTGCTAGTAGTCCAAACCTTACAGATTTGTTTTAGAGGTAATCTTCTAAAATATCTGATTCTGGAGTCTTCCATCAAAGTTTCTGCCTGCACTGACTGCCAGTTTTTCTTCTCTTTGAATAGCTGCAGTCATCATAAAGTTTCACATAATTAATAATCTGTCCTACTAATAATTATAGTAATATATACTAATTAATACTAAAGGAGCAATTAGATAAGTTACATGCAGAGAGTGGTGCTGGCTAGAAACATTACCAGCATAATGAATATTTAATATTTACCTACATGGGTATAAACGAAGGTATGTGTGTATATAGTATGTACACATGCATGCAGGTGTGTAATATATATTCATGTGTTCTTCTCCCGTCCTTCCTCTCACTCATGCACTGCCGAGAGGTGCTTACAAACTCGGCTCTAGCTTTAGAATGCTGTTTGGGTTCAAATTTCAGTTTTCCTATTCACTACTAGATCATCCTTGGCAGACTGATTACCTTATCTTTAGCTTTCTTCACTTATCTGCAAAATAGAATTCATTAGCTGTTTTGAATAATGATATTAAATAATATATAACTTCAGTTTTTTTATTTAATTGTTGAAAAAATACTTTAACTTTTCATAATTTAAAATAGATTTTTTAAATAATTTCAAATAAAATTCAAACATTTGAGATATATTAAAAATCAATTAAAACTCAAAACAAGTGAGTTTGATATATGTATGTGTATATGAGTTCAATTAATTTTTCTGGATTTTAGTTGCCTTCTCTGGAGAAAAAAAAAAGAGTATAACTTTAAATTGAGAACTGTAATCCCAGTACAAATGGACATACTCTTCAAATAGAGTCTCTAATCTTTAAAGTAATCCATGAGTTTGAGCTATAATCTTCCCTTAAACATATCAGTCACATCTGCATTAGGGGAACTATTGCCCAGGAGAATAAGAGTCAGTTTTGGAGTCATTCAGTTGAAGTTTGAATGCTACCCTTACTTTATTTCTCAAAGAGTGATTTTTTTTAACAAGAATAGGATAGTACCTGACTCAAGGTTCTTATGAAGCTTAAATGAGTTGATGCTTCTCTTGACTTAGAAAAGCAACTGGTACATGCTAGGTTCTCCACATGTTATCACTGATCATGATGTTAACTATCAATAATACTGATAATATAAAGCTAGATCAGATCTAACTGAATCCTCTGTACATTCTGGAACCCACACAAACAAGCACACATGCATTCACCTCTTTATAATATTGCAATGCTGCTGTGGTAGAATGTACTATGTAGGAGTCAGGAAGGCTCCATTTCTAACAGAATCATCTAACGGTCTTCTCACTGGAAGGGAGCCATGATTGACAGATTGTGTAGTATATAGATAAATCTAACTGTTCTGCTGTTCTCTTGAGAGCAAGAGTGAGCACATGCCCTATGTATGTTTGTGTGCCCACACAGATGTGTTAATTGTTCTAGCTTAAAATAGCTGCATCAGTGCTAAAGCCTATAGACTTTTATTATTCCAGTTGATAATATTTTCCATTTGAGGAACATCATTCATATTCTGAAATGAATTTACAGACATTCTCCAATTTTCCACTCTATTTGAGAAAATTAAGGTTTAGAAAGGTCAAAGTTATTATGTGAAGTGAAATAAGCCGGGCACAGAAAAACAGTACTATAAGATCTTACTCATATGTTGATCTTATAGAAGTTGGGACTAAAGTGGTGATTATCAGAAGCTAGGGAGAGAAGAGGGAGGAAAAGATGCAGAAACTAGTCAGTGGGTTGTAAGTAATACTTAGGTAGCAGTAAGTTCTGGTGTACCACTGGATGGTAGGGTGACTAAGGTAATAATTTCATAGTATATATCTCAAACGCTTAGAAGATAGAATTTTGAATGTGTTTACCATAAAAAAAGATAAATATTTCAGAAATAGATGTGTAAAATGATTTCAGAATTACAAAATATGAACATTAATTGAAACATCACAATTGTCCCCTTAATATGTACAATTTTTATGTATCAGTTAAAGCAATAAATTTAATTATAAAAAGAATAAATTAATAAAATAGCAAAAAAGGACAAATGTGGAACAAGTCCACTCCCTGAACATTTAGGGATTCTAAAATTTATAGGTAAAATGTATTTGTAAAAAATATAATTGGCTGATTTTTCTCATTATCAGAATTAGAATCCATATTAAAAGACTAGAATTAATTCCCCCAGACCTCTATGATTCCAGAGGAGTGAGAGTTTAAAAGGCAGCATTCTTACTAAAAAATCTCTCAGGTTACTGGCGTTTACCGGTTTCAAAAGCAAATATGTAACTTATATCTTGGAGCAAAACTGAGGTAATTTCTCCATAACCTCATGAGCAGGGAATATGTGGATGCAAGCCACCTTTCTTCCATCTTGCCCCTCTCTCTATAATGCCCATAACATTGCCTTTGATAAGTGTATTACCCGTCGCGGTTTAAGCAGCTTCACTGACTTACTATGTCTTAGATTGTCTCAGATTTACCTCCCCACAGGTCTTAGGAGATGGGGCACTGCATTAAAAAAAGAAAAAGATGAGAGAGAGAGAAAGACACACTGAAAGAGAGAGAGAGAGAGAGAGAGAGAGA